TTGCTATGCAGCATGGTATCTTACAACTCACCTGGACCCCAGCTTCTGTAGTATCACTCTCATACCACCATGTCCGCTAGTACTAGATCACCCACCAGTCAAACTGGCCACTCCCGTATGTAGCGGTGAAAAGAAGGAGGAAAGGTTGGGTGGGCACACTGATGTCGGAAGGAGAGACGTGGCAACGGAGCGTCGAGCGCGCAATGGGATGCGGCTGTGGTGTGAGCGCCCGTACTTAGGGCAGGCTTCAATTGACTTGGGAAAGACGCAGAGATGGTCTCTCTTGCCTTGTACGTGTTCTGAGCATACAGTCCTTGATTTTTGGGCCTGCAGTAAAGTATGTGTGCCTATTATTACCTTCAAGGAACTCATCCAGCGCGCAAATCTCGAGATATAAGACCACCAATGGTCACGGGCGTCATTAGTTGACATTAGCACTAATTTTCTGTGAATTCGCGCGGGGAGTTTTTCCTGATGGAGTGCCTTATTCGAGGGGTTCAAGCCGTCCGGTCCTCCCTCGTGCTCGTGGATGACCGGCCCGAAGACCCAAGGCGGACAGAGCGAGACCAGGTCCCATCCGATCGCGCCCTTCTCCTTGTTCTCTTTCCAGAACTTCCACGCGCTGCGCTCCGCAAGTGTCTTGCTTGCGCAGTACTTAGCGTGCTGAGGAGCCGCGCGACCCTCCCTCTGACAGGTGTCCACATCGTGCTCGTTCCAGTCGTTCTCGTTATATACTCTCGGCCCAGTCGCTGTCGGATCCAAAACGGCGGAGCAAGAGGATATATAGACCACCCGCTGGACCGAGTGCACTTTGGCAGCGGAGCGGAGGACACCGAGGGTACCGTTGACGGCGGGGATAATCTGTTCGTCCGGGTGGTCTGCGTCGAGGCCTACGGGGGAAGCGATGTGAATGACCGCGTCCACGCCTACAGTGGCTGCGTCGAAAGCTCCTTCCTGAGGTTAGAGAACGATAAGGAATGTCAAATCAGTCTCCGGAGCCCTTGACATGCGATGACAGTGAGGTAGAGGCCATAACGTACCTTGGTGATATCCGGGATGATTACGAACTCGAGCTTGTCGCCATATGCGCTAAACACCTTCTCGAGGTAGGATGCCTTGCCTTCGCTACGGACAGGAGCTTTGACAGTGAAGCCCGACTCGAGGAACAATTTCAGCGCCCACGAACCGATGAAGCCGTTGGTTCCAGTCATGAGCACGTTCCCGGTGGAGATGGCTGGCATATCGAGTGAGTTGAAGAGTGTGAGTAAGCTACCCAATAGGTGTGTAGGTCATACATCTGGGGTTCGTTGTCGCTCCTTAAGTATCTTTTTCGTGGCAGGCGTCCAGGATCACGTTTGAGCGTTGCTGCCTGTTATCTCCGAGCGGAGATACTGAACAAAGAGCAGTGGGAGGGGACTGCACTGAGACCTACCATGCATGCGCAATTGAGTATGCACCTAGAACAATGCCATGTACGCCGATCGGTCTTCACGGGCGCACTTCCCGTGGGTTCATTAGGGGTAGTCAAAGATGGCGGTTCGGAGGACGGTTCGTCGAGCGATTCTGCAGCGATTCTGTCAAAGGGAATCGTCCTGGATTCGTGTGGGCACTTTGACCACCCCACGTTTCTACGGGTCGATTCCAGGGCAGATTCTTGAGTCGGTCAGGCCTTCGGGCGTCTGTGATATCAAAATCAGGTAATCCTCGCGTGATGGTTCCTCTCCGTGTGCCGCGTTGCTCTTCCCCCTACTATGCTTCGTTACAGCTCTTGGGACCTCAGAGAAAATATATCCATTTCATCAACAAGACACACGGCGCACTTGATTCCCGGTCTTCGTGCCAGAGCCAGCAGAAGGTTGCCAAGTGAGACGGCCAGACTTTCTGAAAGTAGGGTTTTCGGTCTGATCGGACATTTGAAGGTGGAGGGAATCTGTAGACCGGCAATTCTGATAAAAGTAGAGAAGCGGCAAGCTTGCAGTAGGGCCATG